TTTGTCGCGTGATTTTTTTTTTTACCTTGAATCACGGTAAAAAACGCGCATATGCAATATGCCTAGGTGTGAACCAGGGCTTAGATCTTGTTGGATTACAGATGAGATTTCCCAGAAATGCTCTGCTGATGTAACCTTCCTAGGATGCAACACTTGGCAAATTACATAATTTGTGCCAGAATTAGATGGAGGCTTTTTGCAAGTAAATAAAAAGCAAGTTTGTTTAATGTACGATTTTACATCAGCATGCAGAGCTGCATACTGATGTGACTTTTAGTGAAAGGGGGTAAAGGTCCACTAAGTCTCAATGTGCACATTATGCTAAAAACAAAAAGCTAACCAATAGAAGCATACCTGTATCCTGGGGAGGGCCGTCACCACAGATTCTGGATTCTGAAGCAGCAGAGCAATATGCTTAGTGTGCCATTTGTTCTCCCTTGTATGCTTGCTGCACCTTTTACACAATTCAGTTCCTGTATATTTTATTACCTCCGTTTTATTCAGTCGATAGAGCAGATTTAGACAGCGCTAGGTCTTATCCCCATGTACAACTTTTGTTACATTAGATTTGCTGCACAGTATATTAGGGATGCACAGATACTTTTCGAGCACCAGTGCAGATACTTGGCATTTTCATGAGAACTACCAGGGTTGCAGTGGTTGCAGCTGGGACCTGCCTCTGGTGCTCCACCACTGTCCTGGAATCATTACTCCTTATTGTTTTAGAAAAACTGTCACATGACAATAAACAAAAATGTATCAGTACTCGTACTTGTAAGTACTCGGCGAGTACCAGGACTCGTACTCGCAAAACTGTATCTGTGCATACCTTCATTTACATTTATAAAAACAAAATGATACATTAGAACAGAGATGTACAAATCCCAGGAGCTCCGTGTGCTCCTTACAGATGACAGCGGCCTCCTAATTTTTGAATTTTTCTCTAGTGTAGTCTTGGAGCTCAAAAGTATCGGTACATGTACTCGTACTTGTACCGTGTACTGTACTTGGTATCTGTGCAACCCTACAGTATATCACAGAGCCACACTTGCGTCTTATCTCCTGGAAATTTCCTCACATGGCTAGGTTATTTATGTAAACTTATTTCTTCATCATACAAGGCATGCAACATGGGGGGGGGGGGGGAGAATTTATTTTTCTGCAACATGGGGGGGGGGGGGAGATAATGATTTGTTGGTGGGGTATGGTTTTGTTTACGAGCTAGTATTTCCATGCAAATCCAATATCTATATGCACTTTATTGGTAGTGTGGCTATATTTGTTAGGACCACTTTGATATATTGTCCCGTCTTCAAGCACCATAGGCATAGAGATGGTTTGGGAAGCCATGCTGACCAAAGGAAGAGGTGTAGAGAAAAGGGGTCCAAGGAAAGACCTGGGGGACCCCTACAGAAAGGAGGCAGCATATGTTGCCCCAGAGTAAGATTGAATACGGTTTCTGCTTTTACAAACTCCTGTAGATCTAGCGAGAACTGGATTTACCCATCCACTTTAAACAGCGTATATGCAAGAATCCCCTAATGACTATTGTATTCGGACAACCAGCACCCACAGTGACATCTGATGGTCAGTAGTCAGTTTTTCTAAAGGTGCCCACACACCTTGCGATAATCGATGGAAATCCCGCGATCGTACGATTATCGTAAGGTGTGTGGAAGCCGTGCGACCTCTACTACTGTAAGGTCGAACTACTTATCTTAGGAACATGTTCGAAAACCCGCCAAGCATCGTACGATGTTCGGCGGGTGTGTAGCATGTTCGTAAGATAAAAGCCGGACGAGCCGGTGTGCACACTTGCCCGTTCGGCATTGCAGTCATCGGAAGCCCGCCCCTCAGGGGTTTTTTTTTTAATTACCTTACAACCATCGCAAGACAAAAGTCTCGCGATGGTTGTAAGGTGTGTGCCCAGCCTAAAAAACTTTGCCACTGGACTCAGTTGATTACGTTAACTTGTGTGTCAGCTGGGTGGTGCCTACAAGGCCATCCATGGCTTGAATTTTGGAACATTCAGCAAGAAGGTCTATATGCATACATTTCCCTAACTAATAGCATATGTTTGAAAGACTAGAACTGGCATACAAAACAGCCACTGGTTGAGAGTCACACCACGACTGTTTAAAATGACAAAATATACAATTATCTGTGCGTTTTCCTGGGAAAGCAAGAAACCTAAACAAATGCAAATAAGCCATGTGTTAATCCTGCCACAAGCATCCTTAAAGAACAATTGTCTACATTGAGCATACACAACCAATCTTGTCTTGTTTTTTCAGCATCTGCCAAGCTCATAGCCAATTCCTAATAAGAAGCCTTGTTTGTCCAACTCCTAATTACAAGTGACTACAGAGTTAACTGGCTGCTGCCAGATACACAAGAAAAATGCTTACAAAACAAGTCTACTTCTGAAACAGATGGCATTCAGGCCAAAGTCATAACGTTCCACTGAATCATCTATTCCACTAAAGCTGGCACTAGTATGCAAAGCATGTAGACTGTTCACGCTCCACATTTAACCCAGTTCCTTGTCTTGGATCATTTGCAACATCTCTATTAAAGCAACACTTTAATAAAAGATGCCCTAGGTGACTTTAAAGCAACAAGCACCAGTGTAGTGCCTGCAAGGCCTGGTGTGAGGCTTTCTGAACTGCCAGGGTGCATCTCATGTTAAATGGCTACACAAACAGAAGGTTCTTCACCGCAATGGACACAAGGTTTCCATGCCTAACATAGCTATGAATAGACATATTGAGATTTAACGCAAAGGTGGTGAAGCAAGGACTTAACCAATTACAGAATGGACAGACGTTATATGATGCACTCCCAATTCTCTCTTTACGATCAAAAAAGACAAATGGCTAAATACAAACACATGCAGGTGCTGGAGAACACAGGTCTACCACCTATAGCACTGGTGTCCAACATGCTACCCTTGGCGTTTGAAGTCAGGCACTTAGGGCCACAGCAGTCAGGGGTAGCATGGATTTTTAAAGGGGGGCTTTAATAACCGTGATCCGGAACAGAAGTTTCATGGAACATAATCCCTAGGCTCTGGCTGTCTCAACAACATGACTTCAATCAACCATATTCTCTAGTAACTTTTTATTCTATGACAGTGTTCTGTAGCATTAAATATAATATATATGGGCCTTTTCAGACATCAGGGGCTGAATTAGCCTTATAAGTTGACAACCACTGACCTATAGTATGGTTTACAGATCAATAAAGAAAGTTCTTTGGAAGGTCATTTAGGGTTATGCAAGGCAATTTCCTTGCTTTTATATACATAGACAAAACTGCAAAAAAACAAAATCAAAAAAACTCCCAAAAATATTTTAAAAGCCCACAAGATTTGATAACCGGTAATGTTACTAGGGTCTGATTACCACCAGCTGAAACAAAGGCACAGAGGGAAAACTGAAAGTGGTATCAAACCGAAATCAAAAACTACTGCTTTGTTATAGCAAAATAGCCAGGGAATACTCTGGTAAGCCAGCAATAGTAGAATGAACAGTTTGAGAAGGCTCATATTTCTAGGGGAGTCTGGACAGCACAGATAAAAGCAGTTTGAAAAAGAAGATGGGGTAGTATGCAGGGGTGGACAAACATGGAATTCATGAGCCAGGCTGTCCAAACCAAGATTTGTAAGGAGCCACCTGAGGTTCTGGCTAAGGAGCCAGAACCACTGGCAAAAACTAGGGTAAACCTCAAAAGTTAGAGCCAGCTATACGTTTTTGTTTTTTTTTAAAGAGCATTGGATAACTGGCTCCTGAGGAGATACCAGCCCTGGCATTAAGCATGCACTAACAGTAACACATTCTTTAGCTGACTGATGCAACAGCAGCATGTGTTGTATAAAATAGACAGCATTTCCTTAACTTGTGAAGCCAACCTAATCCACTGGCATACAAAAAGCCTGCCAGGTCATGTCTTTAGTAGCGGTGATGCAGGCTTGGTCATAGTAGCGGTAATGCAGGCTTGGTCATGGTGTAATTAGCACAGCTACAGGGATCCTGACTGCTTTGTAAACCATGCCATAGCTGCTTTTAAAGACATCATCATATTGCACAGTTCCAAAACACAACCAAAATACTTGGATAGCAAAACAAATGGGAAAATCTTAGAGACAGTGTTCTGCTTCTCAAGACCCCTTCCAAGGCTCAGATATAATGAACCCCTCTACTTCTCAAGACCCCTTACAAAGGGCAGGTGTAATCAGCCCTGGTGTAACCAGCCCTCTACCTCTGGCTCCTTATTTCTCGGCACCCCATCCAAGGGGTCAAATGTAATGATCCCTTAGCTTCAACACCCATTTCCAGAGGTCAGATGTAATGACTTTCAACCACAGAAGGCACTGGAAGTACAAACAAAGCATATGGCGCCATCACTCTCACCAACAGCCGGTATATTGCACATAGAAGCAGCATGATCCCCCTGGATCCTGGAACACAAACCACACAGAAGTACTTCTCCATAAGCATGCTGCTGGTGACAAAAGGGAAGGCACCAGGAATAAAGCAGGCTGCTCCAGCTCAGAGGTAGTGTCTTTCAGAACAGATCCTCCTTCATTACCCTTTCACACTTCAGTTCCAATGATCGGATACATCCAGTGAACTCACAAGGAGCTGGTTTCTGTTGCAGCTTCATTGTTTAGCAACAACCAGGACAAAACATGTAGTATTAAGAATAGTAATGAATGACAGGTCAGAGAGCCGGGTTAGTGCCAGAGGAAGACAGCCTAGGTTAAGCAGCAGTTTGAATGCGATCTCCATGGAACATGAATATGGATGGTTAACCCGCATGTTACTGGAAGGCAGCGCTCAGCCATTGATAGATAAGACAGCCAAACGGGTGACATCTTATTACTAGACCCCCCCAATTCATTCAATTAACCCTTCCCATTGATCCCCTTCTCTCTGCAGTAATCATGAATTAAAGAGCAATTCCTCGAGCCATTTGACAGCCAAGTGTCCTATACTCACCATGGACCCAGCTGAGCTCCCGGAGCAGACAGCATGCAAGAACCAGTAATAGATGCAATCCAACCCCCCGGCAGGACCTGTCCATCTCGCTGCACCCCGAAACCCCCCAGAGAGCCAGCTGGAGGGAGGAGGACACGCAGGGAAACACCACCCTCTCTTTGTAATCCGGGGGAGCAGGTCGCTGCTTTCGGCAGAGCGCACAGAAAATCGGGATCCCCAAAAAATAAAAGCGGTAGGTGTCCAGGGCAGGTGCCGATCATACACAGTGCTCCCTGACAAGGGGGCTGCTGAGGGACAGAGGAGACGTGCACTTCCAGGCGACTCCACAGACGCTCCTCTTATAGCAGCGGCGGCAGCTGGATTTGCAGCAGGCGGCGTGAAGATAAGGACCTGGAGCGGCAGGCGGCGCCCCTGAGCGAACACTCACAGCCGATCTCCAGCAAGCGTCTCTGTGATCCGGCTCGGCAGCGGATTGCATGATCCGAGAAACCGGGCAGCCTGCGCCGGCTGATGAGCCCGGCTGTGTGTGTGTGCGGGGAATGGCTGTCACCTGACGGGAGGAAGTTATGTCATGAGCACATGGCAGCGAGGGCTGGGCTGTCCGTGTGTGTATGTGTCCGTCTACACTGAGGGGAGGGCGGGCAGCTGCATTGCTCGGCGGTCCGTGTGCATTATACACAACATGGTGTGCCATTCGCTGCGAATGTTACTTACAACCAGAACACGGGCAGAAGGGAGGTGTTGTCTCGAACAGCCAATCAGATTGCAGGAGGCATTTTTGTCGTAGGGGAATGTTACTCCCAAGTGCTGTGTGTGTATGGGGACAAGGACAAGGTCACTGGGTGAGCCTGGCTCGTTTGCTTGTCATATACACACACACACAGATAAGTACTGTACTGTACTGTACAGCTGGTCATTATTAGAGTTATACAGGTTTTATACAGTGCCAACAGTTTGCGCAGTGCTTTATGCCCGTTCATGTGTGAGTATAGCCAATTTAGAGCAGAGGTGGGCAAACTCTGGCCCTCCAGCTGTTATGGAACTACAAATCCCATGAGGCATTGCAAGATTCCCACAGCCATAGGCATGACTACCAGCGGCAGATGCTTGGTGGGATTTGCAGTTTCACCACAGCTGGAGGGCCGACCTTTGCCCACCACTGATTTAGAGGCTTTCTTTCCACATTTTTAGGGCCCGTTGACATTGAATCTATTGAGTTTCAATACATTTACCAACAGATGGTCCGAAAAATGAATGGATGTGAATGCAGCTAGTCTGTTCTGTTGCGTTACATTGTGCTGAAAAAAAAAATTGAACGTGCACTACTTTGTCAGCGCAAATTAACAAAGTCGATCCATTGTGAACTAGCCACATTCACCCCCATTCATTTTTTTGGTGCCCTTACGTTGGCATCCGTTAAAAAATTGGATTGGAAGGTACGATTGCAGGTCACTGGGCCCTCTGTTGACTTGCATTTTCTTTTCCAATTTTGGTGTGAAAGCAACCGTAATTGAGGATTTGGCTTGACATGTAGTAAGATGGCCATACACCTATAGATTATCTGCAGGTTTTCTATGGTCAGATAGAAAAAGGGCCACAGATTCCTCCGTCTACACTAAACTGTGTGGATGGAGGAATCCACCTGGGCCAAGCTTCAGTATCTTGCTAGTCGGCCCCGCTGGCCGACTCGAACAATCTGATTGGATGCATTACATATCCTGCATCTGCCGGACCAAGAGATTTTATTCAAATCCCCAGACAGTGCCACCGCAACAGGGCATTTGGGAGTATATGACAGTAAGCCTGTAGCCAGGCTCTAGACATTTAAGTATTTTCATAATAATAACAAGCAACAGATGCGCTATAATATAAGCTCTCACAGACCCCTGTAGCTGTAGGCTGTGAAAGAATTCATCTTCAAAGCTGACAGCAGCAGCACTCACCTGCTCCACGCTACTAGACAATCGACTCTGTTTTCATGAGAGATTAGAAGGTGAAAGACGGCCAAGTCACTGCTACTGTGATCTATGAGAATGAATTGATCCACAGTGCCCGTAGCTACAGAGGTCAGTGTAGGCACTTTTTAAAGCTCATTTACTGCTTCTTAATAAAATGTTAATTCTTCAGTGTCCATAGCCTTGTCATACACAGTCGAGGGTGGTTAAATGTACAGGGTATTGTGGTGCACAATAGTGTAAAAGAGAGGCTCCTCTCTGATTAGAACATTTTTAGCATGTAAATACAGACAAGGAAATTCTGCTGTCTTCTACCTTCACCTTTCCATGTCCTGACATTCTGAACAGCAAACCACTCTACTATGCCCCAAACCTGTGACAGTACATTGATCTTTCCAAAACAAGAATTCAAGTCTCTGCTCCAGGCCAAACGTATTTTCAAACAGCGCAATACAAGGACAATATACTATTTTCAGTTGGACGTACACACCAATGCAATATTTGTAGTTCCTTGGGAAAAAGTCCTGCTTTCTGTATTTTGGAGCTTTGACCTGTATTTGCTTCCTTTCAAGTCAGTTAAATGTGGACTCCACATACCAATGAATGTTAACGCATTGTGTGTGAACTAATGTCAGAGCCGCAAATATAATGAAGTGGCCCCTTGGGATTGTGTCACCCCCTGCACCCACTTAATTCAATTAATTTATTAATTGAATTTAACAATAGGTTTAGTTACAGTAAGGTACAGCTTTCTGGAATTTTCTGTGTTCTGTTTCTGGTTTCCCATTTCGTCTGTTTCAGGTTATCCTTACTAGCTGTCACTTCAATTTTGCCTGGAGATGGCTGTCGCTAGGAAGATCTCAGGAATAAGGCGGTCGTGATTAGTTACCTAGTTTTGGAGGGAAAAGTAAACAACCAATCAGCTGTGGGACTCACCTTTAAATGTTTACAGTCAGAAGCTCTCCTCAGCAGTGATCTTCTTAAACACAACCGCCCTCCCTACCTTGTCGCAGCTATTCTTTTTTGGGGGTATTGTCGCCCACATATGTGGGTGGATAGTGTTTAATGTTATATTGGACTGGTGATGAGTATGGCTCAAGTCTGGGTGGCTGAGCTACTTTATGTTAAAAGTTATAACTGGTTTTAAAAGTTCATTTGTTTATATATTAATGTTGTTGAATTTATTAAAATAATTTATATTTTGCTTTTAACCCCAATAAAGGGCCAATATTTTCCACTCATACCGTTGTATAGTCTCCATTTATTCTGTTATATATTTTAATGTATTTATAGGCTTGTGGGTGCTGTGGGGTCTACAATCCCATGCACCGAGGGCGTAGCATAGCTTTAGTGAAACATGCAGAGAGATGGGGATCAAAGGCAGGTTGGACAGTGTTCATTGCCAGGCAGGAGGCAGTAGTCCCTGCAAGCAGCTGTTTTAAAAGGCATGCTCAATCCAAAATGTGTGAATGGTAATTTGGTAATGGCAGATTACCATCTGCCATGGTAATCTGGTAAATGGTAATGGTAATCCAGTGACTGAATTCCTCAGGTTGCATTAGAAGTACACTAACAGGGTTATTCACTAAAGGGTGGAGAGTTTGGAGAAGGCAGGAGAGGGAACAATCTAGGACAACGTAGCTGAACTGGAAAGTGAGCTGTATTGGATAATTTTTCCAGTTCAGCTATGTTGTCCTAGATTGTTCACTTCTTCTGTCGTCTTCAAACTCTGCACCCTTTTGTGAAGAACCCCCTAAATAACTGAAAGTCTTGCATGCTGTTCTTTAGGGTCCTGTTACACTTGTGCATGCGTTAAAAAGGCTGTTTACATTTTCTACCATATTTTATGCTACACCTATATTCAAGGTGTAACATGAAACATCGTCATGTTGCTAACCCCACCCCATCTCGCCTCCCAGGACGGACATAGAAAAGAAGAAGAGCCTGCAGCAACCAGAGCATTGCACCCACCACCCACTGTTTGCAGTTGCAAAGCTTTACTTGCTCCAATGCAAAAAAATAATACCTGCACATTTTCTCTTTTATGAAGAAGTGTGCATTTATTATTACTTTGCCTTTAAAGTACATGTTTTTGTGTGTTGAGGCCTGCTGCATTCAGGCAGACCATCAAGGTGCTGCAACGCAAAGCACATTGCACAGTACAAGGCCATGCAGTATACAGTATATTTTTTAAGCCTTGTGCATACATTCCGATATTCTCCTAATAGTGTGAAAAAACAGATCTATATTCTGTTTTTTTTGTTAAAGGAGGACTTCATGAAGCACAGTCTTAAGCTGGCCACACACCTATAGATTTTCTATAGATTTTTTCTATCAGCCTATGGTCAGATGGAAAAAGTGCAACAGATTCTTCCATCTACACTACGCTGTGTGGATTGAGGAGTCTCCCACTAGGCCAAGCTTCAGTATCTTGCTGGTCGGCCCCGCTGGCTCTCAAAATACCTGAACAATGCCTGCATCCAATCAGATTGTTCAGAGAGTTATTTTGAGAGCCAGCTGGGCCAACTAGCAAGATACTGAAGCTTGGCCCAGTCGGAGATTTCTCCATCCTCACAGTTAAGCATAGATGGAGGAATCTGTTGCACTTTTTCCACCTGACCATAGGCTGATAGAAAAAAATCTATAGGTGTGGGGCCAGCTTTAATCTAAAGTTGTCATGCAAGGTAACCATAATACAATAAAAAGAAATAGGTTTTCCTTGGAATATGCAGCTGTGTCTCTAAAAGTCACACATGTGCAGAAGAGTTAAAACAAAATTAGAACCCGTGTGAGGATAATCCTATGCTTGGCCCAGATTCACACTATTACGTGTTGGAAAGCACATTAAAACGTGGTTCTCTGTGCAGTGTGATTCCAATTATCTTGAATTGCACCCCAACATACACATACAGTGCACCACAACGCACAGATGTATTCAATCTGTGTTTTTTGATGTGCTGTGTTGAAACAAATAAGGTGCACGTTCAAAAAAACCTGCATAGCAATGCATTGACAGCTTAGTCAAAGTGAATTGCCTGCCTTAAAGGGGTTCTAAACCCTCCCGTTTTTTTTGCCTATATCTACTGCTATGACGCAGTAGATATAGGCAAACAGTTTTAAAAAAACGATAAAACAGCGGTTTAAACTTGCCTTTCTTTCTTTGCGCGCTACCGCGCTGAGAATCAGGAACTCGTACGGCCGCAAAGGATCTTGGGGCATGTGCATGCGCAGTTCCGATTCT